GTAGGAAAAAGTACTTCAAAAATTCGAGTTTGCAAAAAATTTTTTAAAGCAACGTTAAATATTAATGACACTAATATAACCACTGCTAGAAGAAAAATAAACGAGTCAGGAAGTACAGAGAAGGATAAACGGGGAAAACACGTTGAAAATAGAAAAGCAGTCAGCGAAGAAGAAAAAATAGTTGTGAGAAATCATATAAACTCATATCCTAGAATTGAATCGCACTATTTAAGAAGTCAAACCAAAAGAGAATTTATTGATGGAAGTTTGACATTATCAGAAATGTACAGAATGTACTTAGAATTGTGTGGAAATGAAAATATTAAACCTGTAAAAAAACATTTATATGAGTATATTTTTAATTACGAGTTTAATATAGGTTTTTTTTCTCCGAAAAAGGACCAATGTTGTATTTGCGAAGAATATAAAAATACCATAACAAAATCTGAAGAGTTAGAAAAAAAATTTGATAAACACATTAAAAATAAAGAAGATGCCAGAAATGAAATTGTTAATGACACACATTTTATCAAAACAAACAATAACCATGGTCTTTATTTTTATGATTTACAAGCTGTGTTGCCTACACCCTCTGGCGATGTATCTAGTTTTTATTATAAACGTAGATTGGCCACTTATAACTTTACAATATTTAATTCTAATAATAATGAAGGCCACTGTTTTATTTGGAATGAAAGTGTCGGTAATAGAGGAGCAATAGAAATTGGAAGTTGCATTTTAAAATTTATTGAGAAGTTTGTGCCAAATGAAAAAACTGAGTTAACATTTTATTCTGATAATTGCAATGGACAAAACAAAAATAGATATATATATTCTGTATACATGTACATTGTAATGTTTTTAAATATTTCGGAAATAACCCACAAGTTTTTAACAACTGGTCACACACAAATGCCCGTTGATTCAATGCACAGCAGAATTGAAAATCAGAAAAAACGTGCTTTAAAAAGCGGACCTGTATACATCCCAGCACAATGGGTGTCAATAATAAAATTAGCAAAAAAAAATGGAAAGCCTTATTCAACAACAGAGATGAACACAAAGGATTTTTTAGATCTTACAAGGTTATGTAACGACATGGGTAACAATTATTCTTTTAATGAAGATGGTGATAAAATTTTAATGGGGGATATTGTGGCTATTAATTTCAAAAAAAATAACCCTTTCAAAATTTACTACAAAACAGATTTTTCCCAAAATGAGTATAAGACTATAGACATAAGAAGCCATGGCAAAAGAAATCAGTCTTATCCAGAACAAAATGATATTAAAATAAAATGTGCCTATGATTCTCCTCCAAAACTTTCGTTAGCTAAAAAAGAAGATCTTCTTTCATTATGCCACTCTAACTTGATACCTGAACAGTATCATCACTTTTTCGAAAGTTTATTGACAGACCAACAACAACAACAACACAACGAGTCAATGATAACCCCACAAACGGCTAAGCAACCAGTAAATAGTAAGACTACAAAAAAGAAAACTATAAAGAAGACTGAGAAAAAAACAAATAAGAAGACCAAAAAAGTTTTAGACAAAAAAAAAAAGAAAAATGTGAAGAAAAAATTATTCAATTAATATAACTTGAAAAGATACTAAAAATATTATGTTTTTATAAACCTAATAGAAATTGTTTTTTTTTTTTTTTTTATTTCATCGTCTTTAAGACATTTTTTATTATATTAATATAGTTCACCTAAGAATCTCATTGATTTAATTAGTATTATTTTATTTTTATTAATTTTTTAAAAAAAAAGGTTTCACAAAATTTATTTTAATTTTATAAAAGGTTATGTTTTAGTTTTTGTTTGAAAAAAAAAAAAATTTGTATTTTGAAATATTGTCTTAGTTTTTTTAGTTTATGTACATATTTTTTATACTTCTCAGAAAAGTAAGTATTAGGTACCTACCTATATAAAATCCAATATTAAAGTTTTTAATTTCATTAAAAATGGAAACATTTCAAATTAAATATTTAAGTTACTATTGTAGTGATTGGGTAATTTGTTATGAAATATCTATAACATTACTGTATTAACTCAAAAAAAAGTCAATTTCTATATGATGAAAAATATTTTTTTTTAACTTGATGTTATAAATATATACATAAACGTCATGACAATTTGAAAAAAAAAATTGATGATGATACGTGGAATACATAATGTTTTACAGGTGTTTTACAATGCTGTAAAATCAAAAACTCGTTTTTCTCAAAACATGGTTTTTTGAGTTGCAACACTAATGTTCTGATGGTGCGATATGTAATAATGTTAACGAATATTTTTTAAATCGTCATACAATTTGTTATCTAAAGTAGTAAATGTTAAATGTTTTTGTTGAAAAAAAAAGTTATAGCTATATAGTTCAGAGAATTTCGTAAAAAATTACAAAACTACTGAACTTCAAGTTACCGGGGGCCTCGTTTTAAAATTGATTGTTTTATTTCAAACATTACAGTTAATATTTAATTACGTATCAACAAAAAATGGGTAGGTGCCACGCCAACTGTACAATAAAAAAAAATTTACAATAATAATCTGAGGGCTACCAATAACAATCTAAGGCACATATTATTATTATTATCATTTATCAGTTAATTTATCACCTCTCAATTATATTTTATCAGTAAGTTTATAACTGTACCATTTTTAGCTATAATAAACAATTCTTTGTTTTCTTTTCTTTTCTTTTCATATAAATGATATATTTCACGAAAGTTTAATTAAATATTTACGGAAAATAAAATTTTAAAACCTTAATTATATTGCTTATACTTAGTTGATAAGAAATAAGAATAACAAATGATCTGCTCAAACAGAATTTGAAAATAGCAATTTAGTGGGGGGGGGGGCATATAAATGGACCCTAAGACGTAACGATGAATACGATTATTAAAATTGGAATTAAAAATTATTATCCTGGGGTAAGATTTTCCTGTTACACCGGGGCTAACGTGGCGGAATACGCCGTGTATAACCCCGGCTTTACAGTTTTACTTTTTTTTTTACTAGGTCCCCTCGCAAAGCCTTGATAAGGTACTTCGTTCCAATAATATAGAATAAATATTTAAAATTACCAAAATCTTTATTTTAGACATATTATTTTGTATGGTGACATGGGATGAGGGCACACAATATATTACCTATTGCTTATTGTCACGTGCCTACATATTGTCACTTAAAATCGTATGATTTACAATATAATAAAATTATTATACTTGAATATTATATTGGGGTCATAAATTATTTATAATGAATAATGATAGCTCCTATTATTATTAAATATTATATTAATTGCGATCATAGAAATAAAATACAGTTGAAATTACCGCATTAAGCCCGACCCTTATAAATTTGTGAGTAATTCACTTTAATTAATAATTTAATAATTAAATAGCAACATTATTTATATACTCTTTCCGTATACAATATATTGTAATATACAGGGTGGGTATATTACATAACGGTGATTATCCTATATATTTATATACGAAAATTGTCCTTTTCGTTTCCACAATCTGTAGTGTTTGACTTTGTGGTTCTATTTTTATTAATAACCAATGGTTCAATATTTTCTTCAATACACTCCTTAATTATTTATATCCAAGTATATAAATATGTGATTCCAATATTCATTCAACAAATTTAAGAATAATTGTCCTTATACCGTTTATACTTCATTCACAATTTTGGGGTCAATGTGGTAGCTTCTTAGAATCTTCATAGAATCGAATATCGATTACATTAATAGTTATATTAAATAATTGTTATTCCTAACGCATTTTCAAAGGGTGGACGAAAAGGAGCTGTACCTCCAATGATCGTTGTTGATGCCGTTTTATTGTATAAGGATGAAGTAGTTATTAACAATAATGGAGAAAAGAGAAAGTACAAATTATTATTTAAATATTATCTACATTGTTTATATTCTACGTATAATTTTAGTATATTTTGTATAACTTTATACATTACATACATTAATTTTATCATTGTTGCATTTTTGTAAGTACAAATAGTACAATTACCTAATATTTATCGTAACTATAGCTATATGTGTATCTACTAGTGATGTAAGTAGGACATTTCCAAGAAAAAAATGTATTTTTTTTAATTTATATTAATTTTGTTGCGATTAAATAGCAATAATTCGTAAGCTAACTAACGAGTAACGAGCAAATATTAAATATTTCCATTACCTCTTTACTTATTAATTATGATTAAAAACAAAATATTTAAATGAATAAAATGTGTACAGATTATTTATAATGTTATGAAATATAATTCAAAATCCAAAATATATTTCTCTAAACTCCTTAAGTCAAAAATAGGCTCTAATAAAAAATAAAATAGAATTTTTAAATTTAGAACATTTTCCATATGGTTCTTTACCTTAGAAATTAAATCTCTGAAATTTTCATTATCACTTTAATGTAATATTATTTTTTAAAAAGTGTTTTTTTATTTTTTGTGTAACGTATAAATTTGGCAGTATAAATCTTTAATCTATAACTTTGAAGTTTGATTTCTGATGGTAATTTTCATCTTATTTGTACTTTGAACGTCAAAATCACAAAATATTTAAAATTTTTATGTGTACATTTGAAATTTGAAATTTCTTTTTTATAATAAAAAAATAATTCAATTTTCAACTACATATCTTTTCTGGTGGGAAAATGAATCTAAATGGTGTATTTAAAATTCCAAGTAGTTTTCAAAAGCACTGAGAAAAACTAAAAAAAAATTAAGATAAAAGAGAATTTTTAAGCAAAATCGGTTTTTGACAAAATTCAATTTGTTTTTTAGTGTTCTTGCTGTTACAAAAATTACCATAGATACATGAGATGTTCACTGAATGTTTATTATAGAATTTTATATACACTATAAAATGTTGACTTATGTTGAGCTATTTATAGGTATATCATTTTAAATTTTTTTTTGAAAAATTAATGTCGATATAAACATTTGTATTAGGTTTTATGGTTACTCGAAGGGGCTTACCGCGTTTTTAGACTTGCACAAGACGTCCTCCATACCACGGACGGCCGGAACTAGTGCATCCAACATGGCCCTGTCGCCGGGTTGACGCATGCCGTATGCCTCAACGGCCGCCACGCTATGAATGCTTGGTAAATTCCAGTGAGAATGACCGGAACAAGACGGACAATAGCGTGCCCAAAGTGCCGGCCATGCGGTTCTCAAGCAGCCGGCTGATCGAACGAAAAGTGTCTGCGGGGCTGGCCACTCAGTCACGGCTACCTTCACAGCATCCGCCCCACGGCGCCAGTTGCTGCCACAGTCGCCGTCGTCCGTCTCGTCCATTGTGTTCATCCGGCCCTCCGCCTGGATAATCCGATCGCATACGTGAACTATACACAGAACAATAATAATAATAATAATAATATTCATCAAACGTCAATATAATAGACTTGATAGTGACTTATATTATATAACAGAAAATGCTGTGTGTAAGGAAAATATAGTATCCTACAGCGCCACGGTCGTGGAGCGAGTTAAGTAAAAAAAAAAATAACTATGACCGTGTGTGTATATTGTATCGAAGAAGGAGTTGCCTATTTAAACTGTGTAAAATACGGGTAAATCTGTTATACGACATAACTAATTTTCTAATGCATCAATTAACTCCTAGTAAACTCCAAAACATCAGAAATATTGTGTAGAATGTGTGCTTTTGTAAAAATCATAAAAATCGTACTTTTAGAAATTAAGTTATAAATGAAAAAGTTTGAACTTTTTAATGGAAATTTATATTAAACTAGCTGATCCCGTGCACTTCGTTTCCCGTTAAATGTACCCATTCTATATGACTCAAACATTGTTCAATGCGTTATTTAATATTCGGTGTATGATGTTCTAGATTTATCTTAACTTTTCTGTTGCCCGGAATAAAAATTCTGAATTGCAGCAGACAGCAGTACATTATCAGATAGGTAATTTACCTGCGGTAGATCGCGGACCCCGTGCTGTTTGTACGTAAGTGTATGATTTAACTCAAAAAGTACCAAAGTTATACCAAGTTTGACGTTTTTACTTAATTCCACCTACCTATAAATCCTAACCTAACATAACAGTACTAAAATCCGATGAATAAAAAAAACCAAATTTAACCCTTTTTAAATTAGCGTATCTTCTTCCCATAGGTCATTCATTTATATATAAGATATATTTACAAAAAATAATAATACAAATCAACAAACATGCCCGATTAACCAATAGCAACCAATATAATATAATACACCATGAGTAAATAAAGACAACGGTATCGAGTTCAAATCCCAGACATCAATAAATAGTTTTTGCAGTTTTTCTAATTATTTGGTTGACTTTTTAAAAATTTTCTTTCTTAAAAACCTTCACCTGGCAATTACGAACATCCTAAAAAAAAATTTGAGCAAAATCGGCCCAGCCGTTCTCAACTGATGCAATTTCGAATTTTTTGTCTCCATTTTTATATATATAGATTATATAATTATATAATTCATATTAAAAAATATTAGCGTTCTTATACCTAGATCATTGTTTAAATACTCAATATTTACCCAGTATTTACACAAACAATATTGTTGTCCGTACTTTACGCCGTAATTTGTACAATATACTATATGTACATCTATATGTAATATATAGATAAAAATATAGATACATTATCATTATTTGCAATGATGATAAAAATTAGTGATATCTCAACAAAAGATGATACTAATTTCTTAAAACTTTTGAACAATAATATTTCGCTTGAACTATCGAAATGTTTAAATTCAAATTTATTTTCCCCGAATATCAACAGATTGAACTTTGAGCTTTATAAGTTCGAGCGTTCATAGAATTCGGGGACCCATGCCTATACATTTTTATAATATCATAATATTATAGTATGATATTGCATACTTAAAACGTCTGTTACGAACGGCACTTGGTCTTCGGACACTGTCGTGCTCGGTGGAACATCGTCATCATCGTCATCTTCGTCATGGTCGTAGGGGAGTGGCGCCGGACATACCTATTCGGGTGTGGGATGCTGGGCCAGGTCGAGACGTCCGTCCAATCCCGAAAACGTCCAACCGGAAGCGGATACCGGATGGTCTAAACAAGCTATCAGTGAGTAGCAAAGGCCGCCGTACACACGGCCGTCGGCGGCGGCCGAGCCATGGGCCGCGGCGCCAATGTCCATCAGGGTCACGGAGAAACCGTCGTCTGTGTCACTGGACGACGGTAACATCCGGCCGGTGTACCGCGCGGGCGCCAGTGGCCGCGCCGAGAAGACGGGTCACCTCGGCCACGATGGCCATGAATCGCGCGTCGGACATGCCACCCATGTTGTTGACCATGGCCACGATGTCGGCATCCCGCCAACGTCGCATGATGTGCTGGTCATCGTCTGTCAGTAGGCTCAGCGTGACAGACACCATCGTCCTGATATCCATCGTCCGCACGGTTCGGACCTCGTTCCTGCCGTTTGAGTCGATCCCAACTTTCCATAAATCTAAGTTCCAACTGACACTATTCAATAATAGGTACATTAAGGAATCTTATGTCTCAACCTTCGAGAAAAATTCAGTCCATCGCGGAAAACGGAGAAACGTACATTATAAAGTACGTTAAAAATAATTACGAACATTTTATTTTTTTATAATTTGTATCCAAAAAATACACAAAAATAACAATTCAAACATTTTTACATCATAAAAAATATAGTACCAAAAACAAAATAATATTTATTTTTTTTAAATGTTATAACTTTGTTATACTAATGTACCTATTATTGAATAGTGTCAGTTGGAACTTAGATTTATGGAAAGTTGGGATCGAACTAAATCCTTTTAACTACAAATTAAAACAGAAAAGCCATGGAAACATAAATCAAGAAGGTACATGTACTGATATACTAGAATTGTATCGACAACAAGTAGTGTTATATTATATTTTGCTTAAAGTAACAATAAAATATTGAAAATATATAGACACATTTTTTTCGACAAAATTAGTCAAACCACAAATTCGCTAATAATATTTTTTTTAAATATATTTCATTTTTTATATAGTATAATACTACCTACCTGATTCTGTGCACTTCGTTGTCCGTTTAAAATATTATCTATATTATCTATAATATCTATATTATTCAAAATTTGTGTTGAATTTGTGATCATTTAATACCTGGCGTGGTGATGTTCATAATTTCCAGTGATAAATTTCCGTCTTAATCTTCATTCAAGATTTTTAACACAGTAATAACAGTGGATAGTGGGTAGTGGTCACACTAATTTTTATGGTTTTAACCAAGTATAAAATACAGGTCTAAAATTATCATCAATCATAATATCTATTTTATTTTTTGTAGCCAGTAGCAACCCTATAATTAATAAAAATGTATTATTATTATTATTTCAATTATTTCAATAAAAATTCTAAAATTTGCAATAAAAAAAATTAAGGGCCTATTATCGAGATAAAATATAGCCCATAGATCCTTTTGATAGAGTAGCTTTCTGATCGTAATATTTTTTAAAATCGCGGTTAGAATATGCATTTATATTTTTTTTACAAATATATTTATCCAAAATACAAATCTATGTTACGGGTGTCGGGTAACTACGGGCGGAACAGCTAGTAATAGTTTAAATCACTATTATGATATTAGTTGATTCATATCGCGGATTCATTTTTGATTTTTTCAACGTTGAGGCAAATACCCTTTTCAGGTAGGTACCCAACTTCCTGAATAACGGAATGCCGGATGATCCAAATTTTCATTCGATCAAAAAACGTTGGATAAAAACAAAAAAAATCAGGAATTGGGTAAAGTAGGTCGTTGTGGCTGATCTATCTGTAACATAAACAAATATTTAAAACATTTAAGTTAAAATAGCCCATGAAAAGGTAAATATTTTATGGTGTGTTTATAATTTTATATTAGCTTGGTTCATTTAGGCTATTTTATTCAATTTCCAATCTTAACTTCCAAGGACCGATAATTGTATTAAATGTAGCTGTAATTGGTTTTGTCATTAAAATATGTTTAATTAAAAAATAAGTGGCTAAAAGTAATCATTATACCTACTAAACAAATCAATTTCAAAAAAATCGTTTTGCTTTGAACAGATTATGAATGTAATAGGTCAGAAAACCAAGATAAAATTAATTCTATGTGGCCAAGAGCATGGGTTGGTATATTTAGTATTTAATCAAAGTATGTACACTAACATCGTTTTTTTAAAAACTATATTCTTCAGCGACATCAATCTATCTGACACCGACACACAGTGACTAAATATTATGATGAAAAATACAAAAACCGAAGAAAAATCAGAAATACCTATGGATTCTTCTTCAGATCGACCAAATCTGAAGGGAGATTGGTTAAACTTCTACTTTTTGATATTACTCTAAACTTTCCAAGGTACTACTACAGGTTTGTCCTACGTTTTTCCCATAATACTTCAAAATACGAAACTTGTAACATATACAACGATTAAGTAAGTACATGTTTCAAGTCTTATGTTTATCGTTTTTTTTTTTAAATCATATATATATATAATGGTTAAAATAAAAATTGAGATGAAGTCTAAACCTTAAACTATATAGACATCGTGCTAAAAAAAATAGGTTCTTGTTTGCGCGAAATAGTTATATATATATTTTTTTAATTTCACGATTATCTTGTATATCCTAATTGGTTTTACGCATTTCTTAAATATTTTTAGCATATAGGACATAGGTCTGTACTTAATCCATTTTTAGTCTAGAAAAACAGGACATTTTTTTAAACACAAACATCAAATATTATAATATTATTACATGTTAAATTTTATTTTTTATTATTTATGTAATTGATATATTTTAAGTCATACACGTAATATGAGGTTTCTCTCTCATCGTTACAGCACTAATTTGTTGTATGTGTTCGGGTCTTAATTTTATTATAGACACATAGTATGAAGATAATGGTCAATAATTATCAATCGTTACCTACATTGGAACAACGATTTAATTACTAATAACTTCTGGTCTTTATACAGAAAAAACAACGACGTAGTGACTGTGACAGATAAATGTAGATATTATATAAAAATACCACCAAACTTTGAATAGCTATATCTCGTTAACGGATAAACGAAAAATGAAAATAAGAACGCTATAAATTTAAAAAATAGCTTTATTTATTTATCAAGTTATAATGTACAAACAATTTAAAATTTTAAAATGCTCATAACTCACTTTAAAATTAAAATATAACAAAAAGCCGATGTGGTTGTTTAGATAATAATCTTACCTTTAAGTTTTATAAAAAGTAAATTTACTCAATTTTTAAACTAACGGTGCTACACGTTTTCTGCTGAGCGTACTATTATATCGTACGCGTGTAAGACGGAGAAAACATATGCCGGTGCGACGTCCTCTTTAGCGGCCGCCACACCAACGTTTGTTTTCCCTGTCTATCTCACGCATAATATAGGAACATAGATATTCTTTATTTCCACGATTACGGTTCTCTGGTTCAGTTTAAGGTAAATTCACCTATTATATATTTGATAAAGAAGAATATTTTCTGTGCTTTGGCTGGATAGTTTTTTAATATTTTCATTATTTATAAACGTGTTTTAATTTAACTTAATTTCGATTATTTTTAACCATTAATAACTCATTCAATAATGAAAATATTAAAGAACTATCAGGCCAAAGCACAGAAATTATTCTTCTTTATCAAATATATAATAGGTGAATTTGCCTTAAACTGAACCAGAGAACCGTAATCGTGGAAATAAAGAGTATCTATGTTCCTATATTATGCGTGAGATAGACAGGGAAAACAAATGTTGGTGTGGCGGCCCCTTAAGGCATAATATAAGCGACTAAAATATGTAGGTACTATGAACATACAATATAGGTAATATATTAATATGTATATATGTTATGTTTTTAGGTAGTAGAATTAAGTGAAAGACAACTAGGTAACTATAGTACCTAAGTATAACAATTTCGTGAATCTCGCAAATTTTTTTTTTTTTAAATTAATATTCCTTAGTTAAAATGAACAACCTAATACGAAATGTAGGTACCTATACGATTTCGTGGACACTGATATTTAATATTAATAGTTTGTAAGTCATACATTATTATTCAATACCATAACACAATCTTTAATATACGTACGTGAACAATAAAATTGTGGTTTGTACCTATGTAAGTCAATGAAAACAAAAAAAGTTTTTTTTTTCCAATGTCAATAATCGTAAAGTATTAAACAATTACATATTGTTATGTTACCAACAAATAATAAAATCTGGTTTTTAAGTGTGTCATAATGTTTCACAGTCAAACATTAAAAAAATATTAACTGGCGTTATTACCTATCCTAGGATAGGGGAGTATTTGGGTGTCGTATAGTCATACGCTATAGCCACATGAGCTTTATTTTACTGGTACGACAACTAGCACACCTTACTTAACACTAAAAAAATTGTTTTTGGGTACTTGTTACTCATATACAAAAATTTCATTTCTCCATAATTACGCCACCGAACATAGATTTACCTAGTATTGTAAAAGATACTTTAAAAAAGTATTCAATTACAAAATTGTACAGATAATAAATTAGAAATAACATTTAAAAAAGTTAATTTAATTATGTAATTAAATAAGTAATTTCTAATACATTCAAAATGTATGCATACATTATATAAACCAACAGAACTGAGTTTATTTGATCATTTTAGAATTCTATACAATTTAAAATATAACATAGTTATACGAAATAAAAAAAAAAATTGAAAATAAGTATTTGATTTTAAATACGAATACTTTGAGAATTTTGAAAGCTCATATCTGACGTACTTACCAGAACTTACATGTAAGTGTCATTATTTAAAAAACTCGCAAATTCAATGTACAATGTACATATTACATACAATATAGTATAATATGGCGGTAGAGAAGTTAGCCCCACCAATTTGTCCGATCGGCTCCAAACCGGGGACAATATTTTGCAAGTTAATTGCGAATAATTGCAAATTGATTTTCAAAATTTGATATTCAAAATTGGAATTTTGGCGAGTCTTTCGTGAAATTTAGACAGCCCCACCAACTTGTCGGTTAGCAATACCACACTTACCCTGGAAAATATGATTTCCTAATGAGGCGTCAACTTTACACAACCATCATTTTGTACAGCTATTGAATTAACCAGTCCTAATATTTTGTAACAAATTGCAATACCACATTTTGAAATTTTCTTCTCAACCTCTATAAAGTGAAAACTAATTTTCTCATATTATAATTTTCTTTTGAAAATTCTAAAAATCAATTTGCAATTGTTTGCAGTCAATTTGATAAATATTTAACCCTAGTTTTAATAATTTTTATTTTTACTTCATGACGATTTATATTGACCAATATGGAGGCAATTATTATTACTTCATATCAAAGCAAAACAAAAAAAAATACATGAAAAGGTTTTAGTAGGTTATATGCAGCCAGCATATGAATTCATAGCCAATGAATTCAAACTTTTATCAATTTT